GTGACATTCATCAATGTCACCCCAACGGCATTTATAAACTCGTTGTAGAAACCACACAGACGGAGGCAGGGATACGCTCGATCGTCCACCAAGCCATACACTGGCACTCCTTTTCGACACTCGCTTTTTTGTGCCACCGCAGACGAATGGAAACATGTTGGCCACCAGGCGAGTCACCGAGGACGACATCGCACCACTTGAGCGCAAGCATCTCGCAGATCCGGAAGCAACCCAGGTCGCACGCGCAGAGCAAAAACCGCAACAATGCAGCCATGAACGGGTTCACGTGGGCTAACGAGTTCACCAAAATGGAGAGTTCGTGCACGGTGTGGGGTGGGCCTTCTTTTCGTCATCAATCTTATTTTGTCGGTTGTATTTATGTACTAACCCAACAACGTATTGTTTGGTTTCCATGGCATGTGCTGGATATGGATCGATCTTGCGTTGTTTAAAGTACGACACCAAAGCCGTCTTTGTGGAATCGATTGTCCTTGCCTTCCTAACCAGTGAGTACAGGTGGTGCAGAAAGTGGGTGCAGTCGTTTGTGGTTGCTTGCGAGGGCACTTTGTATGGGTTGGCAGAGCGAAAGCATGTTTTGAATTGCCGTTTTCATGTAGCATACGTGCGCTTAGTTGATACTCCATGAAAGGAGGCTTGAATCGACTCCTTCGTCGGCAACTCGTCCATGCCGAAATTTGTCGTTTTGAATGTCGTGTCTGTATATTATGTACTAATATCCACTTGAAATCGATATCACTGACAAAGACCTCAGTTATTGAACACGAAGTCTATTAAAAAGCTGATGTAATCACACAAAAAATTTATTTTGAATTGATGACCGACACAAATATGTCAGGTAAAAGGAATTGAAGACTTGGAGCAAGTAGGATGCAGACCTTTATGAATTCGATCAGACTTGAACCCGGCGTGAAAATTTGTGCCATGAAGTCATCGACCGCTGTTGTGCACCGCCGCTGCAAACAAGCGTCCACTGCCAAGGTGGGCGACAAAATCTTGGACGATGTGCCCCTTGCTTGCGTTTAAGTGGTCGACATGATCGATGAGCCGACGGATAATTCTATCACT